GGCCGGCATCTCCTTCGGGGATCGCTGTCGTCACTCCCACACCTTGAAGGATAGGCGTCAGAGTGATCGGTGTCTGCGATGGGCTAGAAAAACCCGAAGGAGGGCCGTGCCCCAACGGCCTGGTCGTCGTCCAAGCTTCATCGAACGTTGACTGCAAGTTTTTGGGAATTCTGTCTGCCATAGCTGAGCTTCAAACACAACTTTTTAACGAAATTCCCCACAGACGGCGCCAATAATGCAGGTGTAAGCATCTTGGTCCGGTTTGGAGTGGATCGATCTTTGTTCTCGCCGGTAGAACGCTGGAAACCTACAAGTAACTCTCACACCGGGGGTTATGTCCGGTGAAGAGCCTCCGATGCTTAAGTCAGTATGTGTATGAGTATAATGAAGTGAAGAATGAATAGAATGTGTTTTAGGGAGAAAGGCTCACCCCCTTTATATAGGGGTGAGATACCTGCCCTAATAGCTGCCCAGATACAGATGAGTTGGCTGCCCAAGCTGCCCGTCCGTACTCTGACATGCCGCGCACATGTCAGAGGTGGTGCAAGGCGTTGGGAGCTGTCAGAGGTGGTTATCGCTATCACCCAATACATTCTCGACACGTGTCCTCCTGCACATGGGGTAAATATTCTCCTAGAATTCATCTGGAAGCTCTTACATGCGCCTGTGACTAGGCCGATCTGTTGAGCGTTCAGTCCGCGAGACGCTCGACCTTCTGAGGTCGATAGGATCGCTCGATCATTTGTTTGGTTGAGCGATGGGTTAGTCGACTTGTTTGACTGGTCGACAAGTTATTTTGCTCGATCTTCTCCTCGCCTGGCTCGATTCCTTCATGGTATGACCCCCTAAACCGGTTCGGCGGACCGGTTTAGCCTTGTGTATATAATATCCCATATCACATATATTGGATTATATTCGCATAACTTGATTTTTCAGGAATTAGTTTAATCTACTATTATGGCTGACTATGTGTTTGATGAATGTTGTTAAATGTGATGTATGGGTTTTAAATTTTTTTTTAAAGCCTCGGGAATATCGAGAAAATTATTGATGAATGTTTGTAATAATTATTCACCTGGGGTTGACGGGATAGATTTAATTATTTGTTTAGAAACATGTACATCTATATGTTGGATCTAGAATCGGATAATGTAATTTTATAAATTCTATTTTTCGTATTGTAATCGTGGATTCCGAGAGATCACAAGAGATCAACGAACCTCGAAAGACCAATCGAACTTGAGCCCAAAGATACACGCGTACGCGTGTGAATAAAAAAATTAATTAATTTTGCACCAGCCGGATTTTCCGACCACCAGCGGGCGACAACCGCTGGAGAGGTTTTACTTGTCGGGCAAGAAGTACGATATCAACCAGGATTCTACCGCATTGGGAGTTCCAGTTGAACAGGGAAAGAATATACAAGTTTTCTTGTTTATGGGGACTCAATATTTAATGGCCATAATAGTACATTTATTTATTTAAATTTATTATGTGCATTAAATATTATTTATTTATTTTATTTATTTATGCATGTTAATTAATTATTTTTTTTTTGCATGGGATTAATTTATAATTGCATATTTTATTATGCATGTTAATTAATTATTGTATTAATTAGATTAATTTAGAATTACATAAATATTTAAATAAGTAAAAATCTTTATTAAATTATAATAAGTTTGAGAAGGTCTTCATTTCTAATTTGTCGGTAAATCAATTAATTGCGGTCTGGGCTCCCCCTCGGGTGACATCACTAAAATTAATTGTAGGTAATTACCAGGACAAATTTCTAATTATAACGATTAGAGGAATTCTTATGAGAGCGTATGGGCTTCCCCTCGGATGACGTATAATCGAATTTGATGAACTTAGGATCGAGAAATATGATTCACTTAGAATGCGATTAAATTTATTAACCCCCTTCGGGGTCCCTGTGTTAGGGTTATATACTGAAAGCTTGGCTTTGGATGATATTACACTTTCACTCTTTATGAATGAGAAACATGTTAGATTAAACAAGTTCTACGTTCTGTTGTTTTGCATTAGATAGTCTGGGTCGTCATCGGGTGAACCGAAGATCATACTATTAGTTACTCACGAAACAAGAACAAAGGTTCACAACCTAGATGGACATGAACACCCCATCGTGAATGGTTGTAATGTCAACTGTACAGTTTGTGTTGGCTGATTAGTTACACTAGTACATTTATGTATTGAACACGATCCCATAGAGGAGCAGTTCGTTTTGTGTTGATCGTCGTAAACGAACTAGGCCTCAGTTAATTACTGCATACTCTTAAACCGTAAGATATTAAACAGGCATATATGTGTTGTACATATTACTTTGATTCACATGGGTGAGGCTTAGTGAACTGGGCCAATAGACTCTCTGTCTTGGGTAATATTGCTACATGTAGGATGTGTTGTTAGGATATTTACGGCCACCATGTGCGTTAGTTTGATGATGTCCCCGGAGTGTTATGCTAAACCATGCAGATAGATTAAATTCTGGCATAATATAAATGTGATGAACGAGCGCTAGCTTAGATGAAATAATAATAAATTAATTAATTCTTGATTGTCAATAATCGAATTAATTAATGGACATTATATCTTAAACATGGGGAGATAAACTGAGTAATTATTATTGGAGTCTCAATTGTAAATTGAGCTAAAAAAAGGGAGTGCAATAATATTATGTTGGTGGACCAATTAATATTATTTAGTTAATTAAAATAAGTTGGCTGACCCACAAGTATTTTAATTAATTAAGGAGCCCTTCTCCTAATCTCCTAAGGGTCCCTATTGTAGCTCTATATATACATCATTAAGCTCATGGGAAAACAACTCTCATAATTCACAAGCCAATCACACCGCCCCTCTCTTTCTCTCTTAGTTCTCATTCCAGGTTTGTTTTCTTCTTGTTGCTCCACTAGTACAAGTTGAAGAAGGGTGTAAGACATATACAGTAGAAGATCAATAGGTGTTCAAGACCCGGTGATCATCTACAAGGAATTGACGTACCACAACCCGAAGGCCGAGATCCTCCAACCCGACCGCCGCAGGCCCGCCGGACAGCTGCTGTGAAGCAGCCGACGGACGACGCGCCACCCGTGATCGCAAGGCACCTCCGTGACCGAGTCCCGCGACGCGACCAAGACCTCGACGCGCCCCGCAGATAGCCCGGCGATCCGAGCCTGACGCTGCATCCGACCCGGCGACCCGATCATGAGCCCGACCCGATTTATTCGTGTTCTCGATCCCTTTGTGTGTTGTGTACGGTCATCCAGAAGATCAACCAGATCGCCAAAAATTTTAAGCCGTAAGTTCTCTACGCAAACTTTTAGATCCACTGCGCATAGGTTTATGTTTTGCTATTGAATTCGTGATTTGTACATAACGAGATACTCATAATCCCAACACCCTGAATTCTATTGCATGGCCAAATGGAGACTGAATATTAGTTTCGTTCGTCATGAATTTTGTTTTGACTTATGGAAATTCATGGGCTTTTGAAAGCCCTTCTCTTGCGAATGTTGAGATGTGTAGGGTTACCCTCGTATCATGCATTAACTCTCGGTGTTTTGAGATGTCGGTGAATTGAAGTTAATATTATTTTGAGGATGTCAATATTAGCAGTTAAATTCGAAGTGTTTAATCTGTAAAATTATTTTCATGATTCTTAGGCTATATTCATCATGTCGTTCAATCTGTTATCTGTCATTCTAAAAGAAAATCAACTTACTGGCCCTAATTACATTGATTGGAAGAGAAACTTAGACATAGTGTTGACAGCTGAGGGTTACAAGTATGCTATCACTGAGGTTTGTCTGACAGAGCCCGCGACAGATATGCTCCTCAATCTCAAGAATCTGTTCTGACATCAGTCTAGGGCTGCTAGGCAGAAAGCATGAGTGCTCTGATGAGCATGCGTATGGCCAAGGGCACACCCATGAGGGAGCATGCCCTCAGGGTTACGGCGCTGCTCAATGAGCTTGAGGTTATAGAAGGTTTTATCGATGGGAAAACCCAGGTTGATATCATGCTCCAGTCTCTGCCGGAGAGCTTTGATCAGTTCCGGTTAAACTATACCATGCACAAGATGCATATGGCTCTTCCAGAACTGCTAGCAGAGCTTCAGTCGGCGGAAGCCTTATTTACTCAGGCTCCTCGGGTGCTAGTCGCCGAGTAGGCTGGACCTTCCAGGCCCTACAAGGGCAGGAAGAGAAAGAAGTCTACAGGAAAGACGAAGGCACAAGATGCCCCGGTTACCCCACGACCGGCCCCTCATGCAGTGGCAAAGAAGCCGAAAGGTAGATGCTACAAGTGCAAGAAGTCAGGACACTAGAAGGTCGACTGCCCTCTCCT